TTTCCGTTTCAACTTCCAAACACGTCTTCAGTCACGGCTGCGGGCTTAATTTTTTTTTTTCTTAAAAGAGAAAGAGAGAGAGAGAGAGAGAGAGAGCAAAAAAAAAAGAAAAAAAAGAACCCAAATGACAGATTGCCAAGAAGGGCGGATAGCAATGGGTTTAAGAGGAATTGTGTTCGGAAGACCGAGAACTACCCATGGACCTCCACAGATACTACAGAACAGGTTGAGCCGGATAAACTGGTCTGAGAAAGCCCTTGGGACATTGGAAAGAGTATCACACAAAACTTTTTTAATAACCTGTATTTCATGACCTACATTTATTATAAAAGCTTTCAATTTGCAGGGTTCGTGAAGAACCCTGTTAAAAAAAAAAAAAAAAAGTTAAGCCAAGCAAATATGCAAAACAAATTGGCGTTTGGTAGAAACAGTTTAAACCAAGCTTTATTCTGAAAATAATTCGAATTCTCTCCTAGAAAACATCCTTTTTTTTTTCCTCCTGCACGATGATTTCCCATTTATAATACCAGTCGTTGGGACCTGTGGAACAGCAACGCATTTGAGCAAACAGATTTTGAGTTTGGTTGTTTCTTTGCAGATGTTGCATTGTCCAAACTAGATAACTTCATCTGTACTAGTACTAACACTGAGGATGTTACCTAGTTTGGTAATGAAATGCCTGCAAGGAAACAACCAAGCTCAGAGAGTACCCAAGGACCCACAGTTCAACCCTCAGCTGCAAATATTCTCCTTTATTAATAATCTGTTGTTGCCATCCAAAGCCCAGGTCAGTGAGAGCGGGACCATGTAAATTATTTTCACTGCAACCACGCCATGAAAACAAAAACTATACAGCAAAGAGGCAGGATTCACTCACATCTAACCTATAATGCAAGTTGGATTTGGGCATAGTGTCTACAGAGCCGTAATAATTTGCAAAATTAAAAAAAAATTGACTTATTGTGGTAGATGTGAAAAAAAGAAACGGAGACTATGGCTTGCTTTTAAAAGCCAGACTTGAAGTAAATAATGTTTTACACAAAATATCAGGTCAGTTTTACTATAAAATTTGGGATTTATTTTATCAATGGTTAGATAGAAAAGTAAGAATTTGAAATATGTGGTAATAGTTATATTATAATTGACTAACCTTGAATGAGGTTGAGAATGAATACAACTTAGTAAGAATGAGATACGTTTTTAAAAGATAACAATTATAATATGAATAATAATATAACATTTGTGCAGTATGATTGCTGATTAGAATGGTTTATAAAGGTATAAAAAGGAACGTATAACATTATTATGCGCACAAGATATATGTATCCAACCGACTCACTGTAAAATTGAAAGATGGTTTTATTTCTTGTCTTTGTTGTTAAAATAAAAAAAAACTTTAAAAAAAAAACCCCAAAATATCAGATCAGTTGTAGCTTTTTCCTGGAGCTGAACATTTCTGTTTTGGGTTACAGAGAATCCTCAAATTATGACTATTTCTTTAGCCACTCTTTGAAGTTACGATGCACGGAGAAGAATTATTTACAACCAGTCCTTGCAAAGGCAACCATGGCAAAATTCTCTCGGTCACTTGATCATGATTCAGATGCTTGGCAACTGGAATCTATTTATGATAGTTGCCACATCCGGTATTCATCATTTGCAACCTTCCCAGCCAATCAAAGCAATGTCTTGCTTAACGACCGCAGTGATTTGTTAAAAATCCACACCAAAAAAATAAGATTGCAAAATCGGGTACGCCTCAAATGACAGCTGTACCACTTAACAACAAATTTTCCAATCCCTATGGTGGTTGTAACTCAAGGACCACCTGTCATTTAAAACTAATGCATGATTAAAACGAATTGGGGTAAAACACAGTCGACTTACGCTCACAACCGAGTCCAAAATTTCTGTGGTTAAGGGAGACATTTGTTAAGGGAGTCTTGCCCCATTTTACAACCTTCCTTGCCTCAGTCGTTAATCGAACCACTGCAGTTGATACGTTTGTAGCCCGGTGGTTAGGTAAATCTGACTTCCCCATTGATTTTGCTTGTTAGGCGGCCACAAAAGGGGAACGCATGACACACACACCCAACACAGCAACCGTCATAAATATGAATCATTGGCCAAGCATCTGAATTTTGATCACGTGATGACAGGGATGTTGCAAAGGTCGGAACTGTGAAAAAAAAAACGGTCAGAAGGCAACTTTTTTCCGTTGTAACTTTGAATAGTCACTAAATGAACTGTTGTAAGTCTAGGACTACATGTAAGGCACTTTTAACATTCCCACAGTTACAGTTATTCCCCTGAATAACCCAGGGGAATGGGTTTTGTTTTATTTTTAGCCAACTCTTTTAAAAGAAAGTTTTCTGGAGCGCACGACACGACTTTCAAGTTTAGAAAAACATTACTGCATTTTACACCCAAATATTTAGAGTAGCCACAGCTTAAGGAAAGGCCTGTGGAAAGGCTTGTTCAAAGCACACGTATTATGAGACAGTTTCTGCCCCCAAACACAGGGCTCTGGGCCAGGGATGATGGGATACGCAGTCCTATGCATCAAGGAGAGAAACCACTTAGAACTAAGGAGAAATTTCCTGACTGTTAAAACAATTAATCAGTGGAACAACTTCCCTCTAGAAGTTGTGAATGCTACAACATGGGGAAGTTTTTAAAAAAGGTTGGATAACCATTTCTCTGAAGTGGTGTAGGGTTACACCCTACGCCTAGGCAGCGGGTAGGCTAGAAGACCTCCAAAATCCATTCCTTCTACTCTACTCTACTCTACTCTACTCTACAAGGTTTGAAGAAATCGCTTCAGGATCCAATCTGCATGGACACATTCAGAAGACACAAGTTTGGGCTCCAGCACAAAGGGGGTTGGACTAGAAGACCTCCAAGGTCCCTTCCGACTCGGTTATTCTAAATCTACAAAAAAGGAAAGATGTATGTAATTCTGGGATCAGGACTAGAATTTAGGTGACAAAAGACTGTAGTTTCAGCCCTGTCATTGCTGCCGAAGGAGGGGCAAAATCTTTCCCAAATTCTAGAAGCCTCCAGCAGGCAAAACAGCCCAGGTACAGCAGCTCCTTGCACAAGGGAGGTTAAACAGAAGCCAGAGTACTTTTCGGCTCTTCCATTTTTGTTCTCAGTCTTCCTGACATAATGACGGAAGTTGTTTGTTTGGGCATAACCAAAAGAGACACAACCTTCTTGGACAACTCATATGAGACAAGAGTGAATGACACCGATCAATGACTTCTGGCCAATATCCTCCAGGGATCTGGGATCACCAGTGTAAGCAGTGACAGATGAGGTATTTTTAACCCTAAGATTGTATGAGTTACCCTATGGTGGCCAATACACTTTACAAATAAATAAACCATGGTTTATCAAACTCAAACCGGCCTCCTCTGCAGGCCACGTGAAGCCCAGGTAAGTAAGATCGTGCCAAACAATGAGACCACTTTATGTTGCCCTGGGTGTCACCACAAGGCTAGGCCCACCGGGAATCTTCACCCAAGGAAGAATAATCCCAATTTTTTTCAACAGCAAGCCCCGAAAACTACCCAGCAAAGAGAAATAAAATGTAGGCAAACAAAACTCCTCATCCCAGGATGAAATCGAGGCATGGCAAACCTTTTCCAACCGTTTGGAAAACTTGTTTTTATGAACTGTTGCTTTTAACCTTTTCTCTGTGCTTTGGTTCCTTTGAGAGAGAACGGAGGGGGGGGCGGGCTTCGTTTATCAAAACTTCATTTCCATAGTAACTCTCTGCCTGGAGATATTTCAATCATTCCACAATGAGCGAACGCTGAATATGGGCCCTTGTTTCATGGATGAAGCCAAACTCAGATCTTTTTTCCCCAATTAAAAACCCAGATCCAGCTCTTAACAAGGAGGGTGAAGAAGGCAGCCATTTCAGCTGCAAAACCAGCATTATTATAAACCGCCGCAACCGAGCCGACCACTCCAACATTGCTTCGCCGCCGAAAGAAAGTTAAGTTTCGGGGTTGTCACTCAAACATTTTTAAAGCCTTTTTAGATGATTTTAGGAATCTGTGCTGAGTCATTATCCGTCAGAGCCTCTTCTCCTGGTTGATCTGACTTTATATTTCAGAGACCGAATCGGGTTTGTTTTCCCATGCAAAGAAACGGCCGTCAAAACACCACCTAATGGCAGTCTAGTTTGAAAAAAGTGTTTTATCCTAGGGACTGATTCAATAGTCCCTGAAAAACCTAGGTGTGCAGAATCAACTGGCCACGCAGTGTGGCTTCAACTTATTCTTCCACCTCCACCAAAGCAAATGTCTCTCGTGAGAAAGCTAAGCTTCCAAATCGTGTTTGGAGCCAGCCAACGATACCTGTTCCAACAATCCATGCAATCTCACAACAGACTTATCAAGTTTATCACAGGCTAAACATAGTCGGTCAACTTGAGAAAAGAAAAGTCAAGTTTATCATGGAACGGAACTTAAAATGAATGTTTATCATTTATTGAATGTGATGTGGGCCTTCATCGCCGAGCAGAAGGCAGTAGGCAGGCTGCTGGGCAGGAAATCGACTTTTTTTAAAATATATTTTTAGGAAATGAGTAAGGGGCTTTGAGATTTGCAGCACAACCCTAAGCATGTGTCGCAGTCATGGTTTTCATGGGAGTTAAACCAAAGTTTGATGCACAGAGATTTGATCCATGCATTAAGTGACAGCATAATTTAGCTGGAAAGGACTTGGTGGGGGGGGGCAGGGTGAATGGAAAGTAATAGAGCTTCAAAGAGGGTATTTATATACGGTTCAAATTCACCCATTATTTTCCAAAGCTTAAAAGTGTCCTTCTTCATTTTAATAACTCCGTGTGGCTGATTTATAACTCTCCATTTCAAGCACATCATGTTAAATCTTTTCAAGCAAAGCAGAGAGGGAAAAAAAAACAGGATGGCTAGCTTATATTTATAGAAAAAATCGTAACCAGCAAAATAAAAAATAAAATCACATACCAGTGTGAGTTCGCAGGTGTGCTTTTAAGTGGGACGATTTCGTGTACACTTTAGTGCAACCTAAGATAGAAAATCAGAAAAGAGACATTAAGTATCACGTGCGTTTATGTCTGGAAAGTGGTAACGCTCCCCATAAAACTGCAATGCTGCTAGTAGTTTTAATGGGTGGCCCTAATATATTTAAGAAATGTATTCCAATTTCTCGCTTTTGCCCAGAGCAAAAAGAGAACTGCTAGCAATACACAGAAATCACAATCAACCGCACCTAAATTTTCAGGTCAATATACTTACCGTCCTAAACATGCAAGCTGAATTAATTGATCAAGAATCTTATAATTATGCATCTCATATTTTATCCTCTTATAAGCTATGCGTCTGACAGCAAAAATCAGTTATTAACACATAATAGAATCTGTTATCTATTTGGGAAGACATACACCCTTTATTTCAACCTAGTTGAATCTTCTAGTTCTAGTTAAACTGCGTAAAATGCACATCAAGGAGCAGAAACGCAGCCAAATCATGAAGAAAACGGTGAACGCACTTTTCTTCAAGTAGCTATGACTGCCAGTCTTCCCTATCCTGGTGATGGAACTACATTTCCCATCATTCTGAGCCAACAAACTCACGGGAATGTTCAGGTCTGAGATGTGGAAATGCTGTCATGTGACATTGGCTTACGTTTATGTTCAAACCTTGCATATGCTTAAGGTGCGTTTATTTTATTAAATGTTTTCTTCTTTCGAAATAAGAAGCAAACATGCTCCATTCGAGCAGATTGGCCGGCACATTGCACAAAAGAAAACATTTGGGAGGGTTTTCTGGAAAGACGCTAGCGACGAACTGGCCTGTTTCTCGGAGACTTCCACCTCTCCACTTCCCTCAAGCTTACCAGGGTAGTCACAGTAATGAATCCGCCTCTTCTCCAAGTCGGGGTTACTCCTCCGATTATATCTGACGGTTGGGATGCTCGGCGAATTCATGGGGATGCTCGCGTTCAAGGTCGGGTTGTGGATGGCCAACTTGGAAGCGATGGTGGCAGCGTAAGATGGTGGCGGGGTTAAATTCTGCATCATTTCCACCTGCCGGTCAGGGCTGCCAGGTTCCGAGCTTGGGGGGGAAGGGGGGAAGTAGGTGGCTGGCTGCTGCAGAAACTGGCCGGGCATGGTGTACGTGCAGGGAGGCACCCCGTGGAACTGTTTCATGGAGGTCTGGGACATGACGGGAGAGACGGTGTTGAGGCCCGTCATGGAGGAAGACAGGGAGACGTTGCTAAGGGAGTCCAGGCCCGTGGCATTCGGCAGGTCTAAATCGGGGGAGCTGAGGAGCTGGTACAGCTGGCCCTGCTGGGGCCCAGGCACAGAGAGGCCCAGATCTGAGGCAGACATCTCCTGCTTGATGAAGAGGCTGTTCACATCCGGCGCCTGGTGGGGGCTGAAGATGCTTGTAAACTCAGGGAGAGCCTGGGCAGAGCTGGGGACCCCAGGAGAGGCCTCACTCTGGTGGTTGAAGGCACCGACCGGCTCCGTCTTGATGTGGGTTGCGGGACCTCTGGGGGCTTTGAAGAGGCCCGTCCTCAGCTGAGACAGATCAGGCAGGTAGAGGTTCATGTTGACGCTGTAAGGCACCCCGTCACCATTGGTGAAGAACTGATCCACTACCGAGGCACTGTCCCGCCGGTACTTTTTGTGCTCGGGGAGTGGGGGCAAGGGAGGCAGCTGCTGGGTCAAATATTTATCCATCTCGCATCGGGTCTGGATGAGAACAAAATCAGCCAAAAAGAGGGGGGAGGAAAAAGAGAGAGACATAAGCTTACAGACTGCAACCATTACGAATCTCCCAACACATTACAAAATTCGAGCCCAGGATGAGATTTCTTACAAATTACACCACGTTCTGGAAAAGCCGCTCTCATAATCCAGAAGTACAAAGAATGGCGAAATTCACCCAGAAGCTACTTAAAGAAACTCCAGTCTATTCCTGAATTAGGTGCCTTTTACCTTGAGAACATAGCAACCTGAGCAGGAACAGAATTACCATTAAAATTCACCAGCAGGATTCACTTTCAGGAATTGCTCAGGTCTTGAATTAAGTTTGCAAGAATGTTCTCTTCCCCCCCGCCTCCCCCCCAAAATGCAGACCCATCATCTAGTCTGAATGGAAAGTTTTTATTTTGTTGTTTTTAAGAAAAGCAAGCAGAGATAGAAGGATCTCACATCGAGAGGTACACGGTTCCCTAGATGACACCTTCAAGAAGAGGCAGAGCACACGATAAGAATACTTCCGTACAAGAATCAAAAGTGAAAATTGAACGATTGGCTATGTTACCTTGGAAGGCTAAATATAGCAAGTGATACAACTGGGTGGCAAAGCGTTTAACTCTTTAAAAAAAAAAGTGCACCGTGTGCTATTTTCTACATTTCATCTGGAGGATTTTTTTAAAAAAATATTTTTTTTTATTTAAATCAAGGCTTCCAAGAATGCAGGCACCCTGCTGGCTTGGCCTCTTTGGCATCTTAAGCCCTTCAGGTTGTCCCGCTCCTCCAAAGCAGGTAGATGATAGATAGGTAGATAGACAGATATGGTAAACAGACAGACAGACAGACAAAAAGGGTTTATATCTGAGCAGGAAAGAAGAAATAAAATCAAATAGGAACTGGTAGGACAACTTTTATGTCATTTTTTTTTTTTATGGGCGGAGGTCCCCTTAGAGAAGACTACACTTTTCTCACAGGGAGAAGGCAAAGAGCCAGGCATGAAAATTTTGCGAAACAAGTGAATGGCGAGCCTCACAAAAACATTTCGGTTTGACAGAACGAAAGGCAATGCCTAAAGCCAACGTCATCCGGAGGCTTTCGCGTTTCCCCAAGCTGACCCAACGGGTGCCGGGGCAGGGCTCCCTCCCTTCGAGAGTTTCCCACCTACCAGGATGGACGGGAAGGCCGCCCCCCCACCCCTTCCCTCCCAGACCTGCGGGGTCTTGGGGTCAACTACCAGACAAGGCACGCACATAGAAGGGGTGGAAGAGATCCTGTAGCCTGACCTGACCAGGGTTTTCAGAGAAGGCGAGTTTCACTGCAGGCCCCTACTTTCCCTTCGTTTTGAGGGGCACAGACGCTGCCGCCCACCGCTGATCATCCCCCACCCACCCACGTTGCCCCGGGAAAGTTCAAAGACACCCCCGCCCTCCCCCTTCGACGACCCAAGAGAAAAGCCGCTGCGCGGATCCAGCGATTCCGCGGACAGCGACGCGACCCCCGCAAGAGCCAACAGGGATGAGATGGGACGAACCCCCCACGCCGGGGATCTACCTCGGGAAGGAACCCCTCAATCCCCCCCTTCCGGACCCCTACTACAGCCTGCTCAGGGCTGAGAAAGGGGCTTCCTCGCGGCTCCCCCCAAGCCAGCCCACTGCCCCCCCCATTTGCTTGCTTGCTCGCCCGTTTGTCCGAACTGAGACCACCCGTGGCCTCTTGCTTAGCACCAGCAAAATTGCTGGGTTGGGTTTTTTTTGGGGGGGGGGGGGAAAGAAGAAAGCCTGCGGCCCCCCCCCCGGACCCCCCTCCTCCTTCTTAGGGGGGGGGGGGCTGCCCAATAAAACCCCCCCCCCCCCCCCCCGCACCGCTCGCTTCCCAGCGCGGGCCACCCCTCTGCAAGCACCCACCGCCTTTTCCATCCGCTCATCCACAGCCATATAGAGTCCCGTCGCCCAACTCCAGAAAAAAAAGAGGTTAAAAAAGACTCTTCGCGTGGAAACGGCGTTGGCCCGACAGCAGCGTCCCTTGGCGGGTTGCGGCTTTACCCCACTTTAGCCCGCGCCAGCTGTTGGCCCGGGGATCCGCTTCCAAAGGGCAGCCGCCCGGGCTCGGCTCGCCCCCCCCCACCTCTCCCCTCCTCCTCCTCCTGGGTCTAAAATGACTTTTTTGCGTGGGCGCGCGGGGCCGCTCCGCCTCCGCCCTCGCTCGGCCAGGCCGGGCACACAAGGTGGCAGCTGCTCGCTCGCTCGCTCCGTCCGCGCCCGCCGCAGGGAGGGGCAGCGCGCCGGGGAAGACAGCGCCCGCCGGCACTCGGCCTGGGCCGAGCCGAGGGGAAACCCGGGCCCGCCCGCCCGCCAGGCAGCTCCCCGTGCGCCCGGCCACGTGCGGAAAGAGGAGCCGCGGAGCCCGGCCGCGCTGGCGAGTTGCCCGCAAGATCCGAAAGCGGCTGGAACGGAGAGGAGGGCTGGGGGGGGGGGAGGCGTGGGGGGGACTGACGGACAACCGACGGAAAGCCCCGTCCGGCCATCCTCGGGAAGAGAGCCCGGCACAACGGCTGCCCAACCGGGTGGGGTCCCCGCAGGGCCCCTAGAAGGCAGCCGCTGCTCTCCTGGATACCCCACTTTTCCTTTCCTCTTTCTTTCCTTCCCTTCCCTCTTTCTTTCTTTTTCTCTTTCCTTCCCTCTTTCCTTCTCTTCATTTCCTTTTCCTCTTCCTTCTCCTTCTCTTTCCTTTCCTCTTTCTTCCCTTCCCTTCTTTTCCCTTCCCTCTTTCTTTCTTTTTCTCTTTCCTTTCCTTCCCTCTTTCCTTCCCTTCCTTTCCCTTTCCTCTTTCTTTCCCTTCCTTCCTTCTTTCTTTTTCTCTTTCCTTTCCTTCCCTCTTTCCTTCCCTTCCTTTCCCTTCCCTCTTTCTTTTTTTCTCCTCCTTCCTTTCCTTCCCTTCCTTTCCCTTCTCTTTCCTTCCCTCTTTCCTTCCCTTCATTTTCCTTTCCGCTCGCTCTCCCGCCTGCCCCACCCAGCCCGAGCTCGGCCGAGACCGGGACCACACCCAAGCAGCCCAGCGGCCGGGGCCGCCACCCGCCCTTTGCCCATGCCCCGAGGAACTCTGTCCCAGAGCCGTCGCCCCCGTCGCCGCCAGTCCCTAACGGGCGGCCGCCTCCTCACCTGCACCATCTCTTCTCCGGGCATCCGGGCCCCGCTCGGCGGCTGTGGAGGAGCCGGCGGCGGCTTGAGCTCTTCTGGAGCCGGCGGAGCGAAAATCGAGCCTTCCCGGCCTCCCAACACCGGCTTGAGCTGCGCGAAGACGGGCTCCTCGGGCCCTAGGCGAGCGCTCATGCTCAACACCCGGGTAGCCATGGGGGCAAGGGAGGCAGTTCTGCGGGAAGAAGGCGCCTGGCCCGCCCTTGCGCGGCTCACGCCCTCCGCCTCCGCCCGCTGAAGCTGCTGCTGCCGCTGTGGCTGCTGCTCCGGCTGTTGCTTTTGCTGCTGCTGCCTCCGCCGCCGCCGTGCATCGGGCTCCTCTACCTGGCCGGGACCTCCCTCCCTCCTGGCGGACCCCGGCGCGTGCCCGCCCGCCTCTATTTCAGCGCCCCCACCCAGGAGGAGGAGGAGGAGGAGGAGGCCCGCCCGGCGCCCCGCCCTGCCCTGCACTGGGGAAGAGAGGAGGAGGAGGAGGGAAGGGAGGCAGGCTAGCTGGCTGGCAGCAGGAGGGGCCAAGAGCGCCCCCTCTTGCCAGGCGGGCCGCCCCCCCCCCCCCCGCTTCCCCCCTCCCCTCCCAGGGCTGGGCAGCGGCTCCTCCCTTCGGGCCAGCAGTCCGCCTTCTCCGGCTGCCGGGCCGCCCTCCGCGGGGAGAAGAGGGTAGGCAGGCCGCTCGGAGGCAGCCGCAGCAGCAGCAGCAGCAGCAGCAGCGCCGCCTCCCACCTTCCGCGGGGAGAGCCCGGCGCTGCCAGGCTGCGGGAGGTGGCGGGTGGGTGGTGGGTGGGTGGGAATCGCTGGGTCACGCTGGCTGGCGTTCTCCTTTGCCCTCCGTCCGGGAGCGCTGGGCTGGGATCCCCTCGGGCTAATTGGGGTGGGGGGTGTCCAGGCTGGTCCCTAAGGCTGCGCTGTGGGGTCCAAGCGAGAGAGCAGGCGGTGCGCTGGGATGCTGGCCTGTCCCGCGCCGTGGGTGAGTGCGGGACCCCGCTCGGCCCTGGCCGGCAGAGGGGAAGCCCCCCCCCCCCTCGCCCAAGGGCCGGAGGGCGCTCCCCGCCGTGATAGGGAAAGAAACGGGAGTGGGAACCCCGCGGGAAACGAGGACCCTCTGCCGTTAAGGATGGGGGGAAGCTGTTGCCTTTTTCCCCCGAAGAGGCTCTTCGGTTCACCGAAAGCGGCACTTCCCGGGACCGCAATGCTGCGCTCGGCCGGAGCTTTTGGGAGCCAGCGAAGGGCATCTAAGCAGTCTGCGAAGACAGCAAGAGGCTGTTGGCTGTGTCCAGTTGTTTGCTGTTGTTATTTTATATTCTTGCTTTATTGTTCTGTTACAATGTTCTCAGAGACAGAACAGGAGGCTACTGATGCAAAAGGATTCATAAAGCCAAAAAGTAATAATCCGCACGTTTCAAAAGCCCGTTTCCAAATGTGTGTATAATGGCAGCTCCCTACACTTTAGGAGCAGAATAACGTGTGTGTTCAGTCTAGTCTGCGTATCCCTTCCAAGCAGGACAGGCTTTGCCAAAGTTATTGTTATTCTGTGAAAGTTACTCTGTTAAAAGTTTCACCATCAATCAATACATTCACCAACTGAGGGAAAAGCCAGCCACGTTTTCAGCTTCAACGAATTGCAAGAACCTCCAGAGGAGAACAGATTTAAGCTTAAGAAACCTAGTCAGGACACTGGACATTCTGTAAACCTCGGCTGTTGAGTAGAGAGTAGGGTAGAGTAGAATATAATTCTTTATTGGCCAAGTGTGATTGGACACACAAGGAATTTGTCTTGGTGCAAATGCTCTCAGTGTACATAAAAGAAAAGATACATTCATCAAGAGGACAACATTTATGCAATCAAGACAACAAAATTGCAAGGATCCAACCCCAAAACCATGTGAGGGTATTTTTTCCCCCGGATCAGAGAAGCTGGATCACTTGATCCTGAGCTGGCAGTCTATTTCTAGTCAAAGGGAGCCCCTGAAATTTAGTCTCTGTCTCTCCTATAGAAAGCTGAACTGCTGCTAGCAGTAATTAATTATTAGGGGGTTTGTTATGCTAATTTAACAGCTTGCTTTGTGATGCTAATGCCCTCTGTTGTTCCTGCAAGGCCCTGGAGAGATGCAACTCAGCATCCTGATAGTCTCCTTTGGCAATGTTGTTCTGCTGTTCTGGCTTTGAATTTTCTTCCTTGAGAAATTGAAGCATGGGGACATGTACATGTTCTCTTTCTCTCTCTCTCTCCTTTCTCCCATTTGAACATTTCCATTTCTGGCACCTGATTGGCACCCAGTTCTGCTTTCATATTAGAACCAGATCTCTTTTCCCTATCTGGACCCCAGAAAAATATTCTTTGTACCAAATAAAAGAGAATTTGTGTAGCCCAGTTTTGGGTAATGAAATGTCTACAAGAAAACAATCCAGCTCAGAGAGCACCAAGGACCCCCTGGCTACAATATCCTTTGTATTGGTATGTTGTTGAATCTTTCTGCCCAAGAGGACTCTCAAAGCAAATAAGAGAGAACACAAATGATATAGATGAACATGAAAAATGAGGGAAAACATAGCAGAAAGCCAGTTACCTACTGAATTTTTTTAAAAAAATCAATTTAAGTTAATTAAAATTGGTCGGTTTAAAATAATTGACGAATAGGGTTAGGCCAGGGGTCTGCAACCTGTGGCTCTGGAGCCACATGCAGCTCTTTCGGCCCTCTGTGGCTCTTGGTTGGCTGATCCCAACCCTGGCTTGCCCCTCCCTGTCACTTTACACCTGGCCTGAGAAGGTAAGGGTGATGGCAGGGGATGGAAACTGGCTCCATATTCCAGAGCAGGAGGTGCCTGGGTGGGAGTGAGTGATGTAGAGTTGGCCATGCCCACTCAGTCACACTGATTGTTAAATTATTGACTTTTCTTTTCTGTGGGAAATGGGTCCAAATGGCTCTTTGGGTGCTTAAGGTTGCAGACTCCTGGGTTAGGCAAAGACTTCCAAAGGTGGTTCATGACCACAGCGCCTTGTGATGCTTTGAGGATACATCCTTGCTAGAGAAAGTCATGGATAAGTCATTCCAAAGAGGCCTAAAATCATTACAATACCAGAGAGTGAAGCTGAGATGCCAAGTCTATACAGGTAGTTCTTGATCCGCCATCATTCTTTAGGTGGCTGCAGTGCTGGGATTCAAATATGTTTACTACCAGTTCCGTGGGCGTGGCTTGGTGGGTGTGGCTTAGTGATCGTGGCAGAGGAAGAATAATACTTTAAAAACCCCATTCCCTCCCCACTCCAGGGGGAAGATTACTGCAAAATCCTCCCTCCCCACCCCACTAACCTGCTTTCCAGCTCTGTTCTCCTGTACAGGGCAACAAAAGAAGACCCAGATGATCAGCTGGGACTCAATGGGAGGCAGAGAATAGATGGGATTGGCAGGGCCAGTCAGAGGTGGTATTTGCCAGTTCTCCAAACTACTCAAAATTTCCACTACCAGAACTGGTCAGAACCTGCTGAACACCACCTCTGGGTGGCTGTTCAAAGTTATGACAGCCCTGTGGAAAAGTGACTTACAATCATTTTTCACACTTGCGACCAATGCAACATGTGATCGAATTTTGAATGCTTGGCAACTGGTTCATATATATGACGGGTTCCAGTGTCCTGGGGTCATGCGATCTTCTTTTGTGACCTTCTGACAAGCAAAAGTCAATAGGGAAACCAGATTACTAACTTAACAACTGCAGTGGTGGGAATCCAAAAGGTTTACCACCAGTTCGGTGGGCGTGGCTTGGTGGGTGTGCTTTGCACGCGTGCACATACTTTGCATGCGCATGCACGCCAAACACGCACTTAGCACAGGCACAGAGGCGTTCCAACTCATCCCCTGCAAGCCTGCACTCTCCTGGTTGCTTCATCAGGGAGCCCAGGTGGGCAGGTGGGCCCAACACAGAGTGTCAGAGAGAATCAGTTCAGTTTCCGCCGCTCATCGCCGCTACCGGCTGGGTAGAACTGGGCCAAACTGGTAGAATACCACACCACTGATTACTGCAGTGATTCACTTCACAAGTGTGGCAGGAAAGGGCATCAAATGGGGCAGAGGTCACTTACCAACTGTCTCACATTAGCAACAAAAAATTTTTGGCCTCGATTGTGATTGTTAGTTGGAGATACCTATATTGTGTGGTTTGGATTTTTTCTTATTGGCGTTCTTCCTTTTACTTGAGTAATAACAGGCAACTTTAGAAGGTGCTGCAATAAGGAACAACAAAAGAATTTTGTTCTATTGAGGATTTTTGGAGTAACATTTCGTAATATTGTATGTCAATATTTTAAAAGCATCCATATTGAGTGCTTGGAAACCTGCCTAAAGATTTAAATTAATCAATACCACTTTTTTAAAAAAGTGAGTGAGTGTGTGTGTGTGTGTGTGTGTGTGTGTGTGTGCGTGTATCAGTAATTGGTCATGCTATGAACATAACAGCCCACCCAACCCAACATTTTGAAGTTCAATTGACATATTTATGTTCTCCTACGGAGATGATTTAACCCTATTGAATGTCTTGGTTCCAAAAGAGTGAAACACAAGTAACTCCCTTTTGCAAAATCAGTTATTGGATGGCCCTTGTACTGAACATCTGTGGAGGAGAATGGAAGCAGGGGAGCAAAAAAGAAAAGGGGAAAAAAAAACCGATCCAAAGAGATTACAGAAAATTGATGGTAGGGATACAGATGTGCTCTAGATAGAGCAACCTTTGCAAGACAGCACCACTGGGAGACTCACTCTGTGATCACAGGCTTTGAAAAGTCCAAAAGGGACTTGGGGCCAACACAAAAGTACATTTCCCTTCAAAAGCTCTTTGAAAAGTTGAACAGTTGAACAGTTTGAAGGAGACGGGTGGGGGTGGGGGATGGAGAATCAGAACCGGACAGTAAACTAGTCGCCATGGGCAAATAGGCAGCAATATAAATTCAATAAATAAATAAACTAACTAATTTTGATTTGGAAGTTTGCAGACCTGGGCTAAGATATCATGGTTTTGATAAAACAAATAAAGCCACATATATCATCTGAGATCCAAAAGAAGGGGCAGGAAATAAGAGAAATAGAATAACAGAATAGGAAAGGACCTTGGAGGGTCTCTAGTTCTACGCCCTGCTCAAGCAGCAAATCCTATACCAGGGGTCTTCAAACTTGGAAGCTTTAAGACTTGTGGACTTCAACTCCCAGAATTCCTCCTCCAGTCACGTTAGCTCAGGAATTCTGGGAGCTGAAATCCACATGTCT